TTTTGTATCTGTTTGATTGTTGAAAAAAATGTCCTCTTGATTCTGCCAGAAATCCAGAGAAATGGTAACTTCTTGTCACTCTGCAGTGTTTTCTCAAAAATGTTATCAGAAAGTGTGGAATTAGAAGTACAGAACACTTTCCCCTATGCCACCTAGAAGATAGGGTGTTCTGTACTCTTAACGTGAATATAACATCACCAGCACATTGTAGTAAAGTGTCAGAAGGAACGTCTGTTTAATGACACATATTGTCACACGTCAAGCGCAACATTTCGGGGGTCGCACAGGGTCCCCTACAGTAGGTTAAAAAATTATATTCTCAACAATGACAGACTCTACAATGTCATTTTTGAGCCTGATGAAGGGGAACTTGCGCAGCCCCAAAACGCTGCGCTTGATCAGTGACAATATGCGTCAATAAACAGATGTTTCTTCTGACACTTTACTATGGTGTGCTGGTGATGTTATATTCGTGCTTTGATGCAAGCGGCGCCGTCCGCAGTCATTTCAAGCACCCATCTTAACTTGGGATATCCGGCAGGATATCTTTATATGTTTCTGTACTCTTAACACACTTCCTGCCCTAGCGTGACCAACCTGCACCCACATACCTACAATAGTGAGTGAGCATTGTCACCCCTGGACAGACAGTTTGGGATCACTGGGTTAAAATAAAGGGAAAAATCCTGAAAAAAGAAAGAGCACAACCACCACATCTAGAGACTGGTAAGCTACTTTCTTGGTTTAGATAGGCTTTAACATCAATTGAGTTTTGGTTCAAATATACTTTAAATACTTAAACCAGAAGTAAAGTGAACACAAAAAATAGTATACAAAATCACTGGGAGGTAGGGATTTTTGGCAAAAAACACATAAAGTCTCATAAATTCCCTCTCTCCCCCAGCATTTTTTTTATTGTTCGTGAACACTCTACGTTGAATGTGCCATGCAGTGTGCACACTCTCTAAGATGCCGTGAATGAGCCAAGGAGTGTGTAATTCCTGTGTGCATGCGCAGGAGATACATTGTCAGTGACTATCCAACGGCATGAAGAGGACTTCCGAGAACTCAGATGTGTTGGCAGTAGAGATTGCAACAGCGGGGGACAGTGCGGGGGACTAAAGATCAATCCGAAAGCACTGCAGAAGGGCACACTTGCAAGATAGGTGTGCCCTAAAGTGCAAGTATGCTGCGCATACCTGCAGATTAGGGCAAAAACAAAAAATATATTTCACTTCCACTTTAATCTGAGATATTCTACAAAAGTTATATTTCATCGTTTTCCAAGGAAGATGGCCAACAGACAAATAAACTGAAATACAACGTAAAAGATTCAGAGAATTTCTAAAAATGTGCAAAACTGCCTGCATGATGAAACCGATCTAAAACATGCTGTGTAAACAGCATTGACAACACAAATATGTGAAAGTAGATGTAAACCCTAAGTGAATGAACAACACAACTATGTTAGGGGTGATGTAAACCCTAAGTGAATGACTTTTAGGGCTTATCGTATCTGCTGTTGTTAATTATGTCAGTCAATGTGGCCATTCACGGATTGGATTTCAGCTAAAATTTGATCTGTGGGTGGCCCTGCCCGCACCACCTATCTACTTTTGTCTAAGGAACTGGTGGAAAATTGTCAGATGGAGTAACTGTTCAGATATTCAGGCAGGCATGGACGCCAGCTGTCAGGGCACAATAGCCTGCAGGGGAGATTCCTTTATCCACGCTGTTCAGCGTAGATGGAGAATCAAGTGACTTGTGTCGTTCAACCCCCGGGGGTGAGGTAGCATAACGTTAATGTGCATGTCAAGTTTTAGATAATTCTCACACTCAAGAATCTTTGTTCAGTCAATGTTCATCTTGTGCCTCAGAAGGAACGTCGGTAGGGGTTGGTCTTTACAGCCAGCCCTACTGTCACTGACACAACCAGAGGACAGGTTTGGGTAGGCATCCCAAATTTAGCAAATGGGTTGCCACAGCAAGTCCAAGACATAAAAGTTTATTATATATAGTTGGGGCTTTGAAGGTAAGAGTGGGCCCCAGGATATATACTATAGGTTGCAGTCAGACCATAGCCTGGGGCATATGAATGAGCCAGGACCTCAGAGGCCCCAGACTAGTAGACAACAAATTAAATATGTTTGTTTTCTGTGGAGAGAGAGTGCCATCCCTCAATGATTCTCATCATAACAACATTTCCTTGAAAATCCCATGTTGACACTACTCCAGCAAGGGTCACAATTCAGAATCGCACACTGCAACTAAAGATTTCAGTTTTAACACCACCTCTGGTAAAATATTGTTTTGGAGAACAGCCATTTTATTGTAAGAGCAGTTACAGCCTAATGCCGAATCAAATATGTGACACTTACTGATAATGAGGAAGCTTGCACCCTCACACCATTAATGTCAGTTGTGGGGGTGCCTACAAACATTAAATAAACATTCCCAAGAATGGCCAAACTTGGCGTATGTTCTCTAATGTCTGTAGGTACCTTTAAGTGTGCCAGTGGAACATAGTGAATAGCATAGAGCAGAATATTTGGCCCAATGTAAATATATCAGGTTAGCTAAATGGATGTCTAAATATATATTTTTTGGATGGAGCAATATTTTTTCGGTATAAGTTTACTTGTTATTTAGCTTTGACACACTAGGCAAATTTGTAAGCATATGCATACACACTTACTTACTCAGGCTAATTCTAGTCAGATACTAATTAACCAACTAGCATGGTTTATGGACCGTGGGAGAAACTTGGGTTCCCCCCAACAAAAAAGCCCACAGTTGTAAAAACATAGTAAAGAGCAAGACTAACTGTATTCTCTAAAGTCACTTAAACAACATCGTATTGTGGTGTCTTTAACATGTATGGATATTATTCTTAACTGAACCTTTGTAAAACCATGAGAGCTGCCACAGAATGAAAAGTAGGTGATAATAAGACACTGTTAGGGTTTTTTAGAGGTATTCAATGGAGATGAGTCAATTGGGAAACTCAAAGACTTATTAACACGCAAAAAATGCGTGAAAAATTGCAGGACAAAGAAAGTTAAAATATGCCATCCTGATGCATGGAGATTGAATGGGTCGGACAGGTTCTATAGTACAGAAAGAGATCAAAATACAATAGGATGAATGGGAAATAATGAGAGATCTGCAGTAAATTAATACAGATGAATATCGCATTAAAGAACACAATTTGAAAGATGTCTCTGTCGGGCCCCTCTATCTGTTTGATTGTTCATGTAAGGAGATTTGTTTGGACGAAACACTATTTCCCATCAACAAGATGTTGAAAATAACATTCTGTAGCAAAATAATAAAAAAAATACATACCCTTCAAAAAAAATAATGGTTTTCAATACTTTCAATGGCCAGTCCATCCAAAAGTGATAAGAGGAGCCCAGTTGGCTGAGTATGCCCTTGCTTCTTACATATTCCAACCAGTGAGATCTCCTATCATAATTTTGTGCTCTGTTTCTTGTCTACCTTTTTTGGGAGTTTTGGAGATCCTGCCCAGCTTTGCATATTCCTACACCTCCTTCTCCTCACACTTTACATAATATAAAATACATAAGTATTCAACAGGGAGTGGGATCCTATGTATATCTTATGCAGGGCTCAAAATTTCAAGTCCTGAGCTACTAGCCAAGCCTCAAGAGTCACAAGCCACCAGTTGCCCCACCTAACCCTTACCCTGCCCTGGCCTTAACTCCGCCCCTAAACACACCCTCTTAAATAATCTTATGATAATTCTTGTCTTAGGATAGTTGGCACTTGTAAATGGCAGATTAGGGATTCCTGCTGCAGGAAAATGCAAGTTCCTGACACAGGAATCTCTAATCACACCTGAAATATATTTTAGGTGTGAATGGGGCCTAATATACACATACCCTAAAGGTGTCCATACACCTGCTGATTATCGTACGATAATCGCGGGTAATCCCGCGATCGTATGATAATCGGCAGGTGTATGGGCAGCGTGCGACCGCTTCTACTGTAAGGTCGTACGACTTTCGTCTTGCAAGCACGCTGGAAAACCTGTCGAAAATTGTACGATTTTTGTCGGGTTGGTGGCGTGGTCGGAAGATGAATGCCGCACGGGCCGGTGTGCCCAAGCGCACACTGCCCACTCAGCACTGCAATCATCGGAAGCCCTCCCCTCAGCGGGGAGGGCTTGCGATGATCGCAAGTACGATCTGCCTGTCCAAGATGTGCAGATCGTACGAGATTTTAATGACCTTACAACCATCGCATAACGAAAGTCGTGCGATGGTTGTAAGACAGGTGCCATAGGAATAGTAAACCTATTGGAAGATTTTCTCTCTACTCCTGTTCTGGTTTCAACTCAAAATTTTGGACTTCCTCTCCACTGCTTATACTAACTTTTAGTGCACTCCCCCACCACCCTGTGAACCCAGTACTTCTGTTATTGGTGAGACATATGACTCTTCCCCCTTCCTACCCCGATGATGCAGCCATGGATGACCTATTGCAAGGCTCAAGTTTGTCATGTTAACGAGAGTCCTTGGCTCTTTGTTATCTCCAACAAGCCTAACATGGGCTTCAACAGGCAAAAAGAGTGGAGGGGGGCAGAAATAAAGCAGACCTGTTTTTTTTTTTTTTTCCAATCATACGCAAAGCACAGGTTTACGCTAAGCTTTATACAGCCATAAAAAACTTTTTCATACATATAGTATTTGTGGAATTTATTGCAAGCTTTTTATATCACATCATTTATATTTTAGGATTATAAATAAACTGCCGACAAAAAATGGGTTGAGATCAAATCCCTCTTAATATGGAATTTTCCACACTAAGTAGAAAGAAACTTTCATGAATGAATCCTTGGATATTCTACGATGAGTGACTTCCCAGTACGTGACCCAGTTTTGCAGATGGCTGGCTGGTACAGATAACTTTGCTATTGTTCAGAGGTAAGAAAATGACTGAGATGTCAGCTGTACAGTATCAAATCATTAGTAACATACCCACTTTCAGCTCTTTCCCAAACACCGTCCTTTCTCCCAGGGCAGAACAGTTCCAGCGTCCATGTCTGAACTGAAACTGACACTCATTGATCCCCATCTGAGCTCCTTCTCCGATCACGATGATAGCATCGGGTCTGGTGAGACAGATAGTCCTCTGTCTGGGTGCCAAGCCTGGAATCTTACTGCAGATTACACTGGCCCCCAGTGCCACCACGGAAGAGAAGCCTCTATTATAGGAGACAGGAGAAAGAGTAACATTAGTACCAGTCATTGCATGACCTAAGAAGTCAATCACAGTTCCTTCCACAACGTAGAACTGTCAGAGGAATTGTCAGTGGCTAACAATGTTGTTAATTAGAAATAACATTCGTCTCCTTGTGCATATTACATTTGGTTTGGCTCTTATTCATGACAAAAAAAGGTCATCCTATGTGCAACTGATACAGTTATTGGTATATGCTGGTTAATTGAATATCTCACCAGCTGCTTTTATCTCTTAAGGACAAGGTGGTCAGATCTGGTTCCTTGGGATACTACAATATATGCTGAGGTCATTACAAGTTCATCTCATATTCACTTTTGGAATAATAATTTTCTTCATATTACATAGATTGAATAAGAGGAATCTTCCTCAGCAGAAGAAGTCTAGGAGGATTCCAAGGCAGTAGGAGGAATGGTGGATAACAAAGGTAAAATAAGCCAATAATCAATTCAATGTAAAATATCAGTTCTGGATGGACTTGCCCTTTAAAGGGCTATTGTCATTAGAGAATTACATGGAATGTCATTGATGGTCTTCTCCTGAAAATGCTAGTTGCCTGAATGTAATACTTGCATATTTCCCTGCTTTCTGGGTGACTGATCTGAAACAAGTGAGGACATATAGGTTTCTGACACTCAATAATAGAATGCATGTTTTATGTCAGTGATGTAAAGCATGGCAGCCTGGCAACTAGCATTGCCAGAGGAAGAACAGTCTCCATACTCTTCAAATGACAAAGTCCCTTTCAGAGGTTAAATCATTTAAAAGTACACTTGTTAAACTGTGAGCCCGACCACATTGCAGGCGAGATGAGCAAATGTATCTTCTTTTTAAAGGTCCAGTATGGTTGAATGGAATTTTATTTGCTGAGAAACCAGCAGTATACCACACCACAGACTTTAACCCAGACAAAAATATCTTCCTGATCCCCAACAGAAATCAGATAGCATTCATTACTGTAATACTTATCATTGTAATAGCAGTTTACACATCCAAACAAATTTTTAAACAATCTACTGAATTTTCTAGAACCATTTGAAGAGGAAGACTATTCCACATTCTTAAGGTTCTTACAGTAAAGATTCCTTTCTTTCATCCCCAAGGTGTTCTGTATGCTATTGCAAACATTTTTCATTGACTTCTCTTAGGTGATTAAGTGTATGTTAAGACAAACCTTTTTTTGGGGTAGAGTAGAGAAGGAATAGACCCTCTTTCAAATTTTTGGATTTTTTTGCTCGCTGTGTCCTCACTGGGGAAATTCACCCCTCTATTCATCCTGGTGACCATTATCACTGAGACAGAAAATGAGGGGAAATGTAAACTTGTACCATGTCATGAGAGCAAGAAATGAGGGGAAATCTTCCAGTGGAGACAAATGTTCCAGTAAGCTGACTAGCTTACTGTACACCTTTAGAATTTTCTTGTTCAGTCAGTGTGCTAAACTAGAGAAAATCAATAGATTCCTCTATCTAAACTAAGCAGTGTGGATGGGGGAATCTCTACTGCTCGTTATTCAAACAGCCATAGCAATCGCTGCTACCTGAATATTCGCACGGTAACTGCATCTGATGACATGCAGTCACTGTATGGATGATAATTTTCCAACTATGTCACTCAATTTTTAAAATTACTTTTGGCAAGTTGGGTGGTACCAACAGGGTCGACAAGCCAAAATTTGCTCCGTGAATGGCTAGCTTAAGACTTTGACTAGAAAGTTGTCACTACCTGTGAGTCTACAGGGGGTTCAATCCTTTTTTTATAAAAAAAAAGTGGGCTTTACGTATACTTTAAGTATGTAAACTACCAGTCTAATGCTGGCCATACACTGTTAGAAGTTTGGTTGATTCCTGACTCAGCAAACTTTGATTGAAAATCAAAGGAACCCTTATTTATTACAGGTATTTATATAGCGCTGACAATATACACAACGCACATTCACATCAGTCCCTGCCCTTATAGAGCATACAATCTATCTCACATGCATACATAAATACACACTAGGGACAATTTAGACAAGAGCCAATTAAACTTTCAGCATGTCTCTGGAGTGTGTGAGGAATCTGTAGTACTGGGAGAAAGCCATGATGCATACTCAGAGAGAACCCATTGCAGATAGTGACCTAACAGGGACTCAAACCAGGGACCCCCAGTGCTGCAAGGCTGAAGTGCTAACCACTGCGCTGCCATTGACCTGCTCAAATGCTAGTAGTCAATGTACACATATGTTTTTTCGATTGCATTGCAGCTGCTGTGTCAGCTAATTGACCTTACATGCCTGCCTATGTTTATTGTTCGTTTGTTGCATTAATAAAAATGTTGTGAAAGAAAATTGAAGGAGCCAGGTTGAAAATTGTTGGTCTAACAGTGCCAGCAGCCAATCAGCTTTAGTCACTGTTTGGGTATTCTGACAGCTGCTGGTGCCTGCTATCAGAATACAAAAGCTGGCAGAATAAAAAATTCCTCCATCCATGATGGATGGCCACCTTAAGTGTAAATGTGTTTCCATGAGATAACCCATCTGCATTAGCTGGTACTCCTGGCAGTTGCTCCATAATGCTGATGCAACACAATGCAATGTGACCACGTTACACTCTGAATATAAGTGTAACATGAAACATGGGCAAAAAAGTAGCCCGTAAGTCAGCCACATACAAGTAAATCTGACTGGAAAATTGAAACTCCAAGCAAACAGATATACTGTATGATAATCACTGTGCATCATAAACAAAAAATACTTCCTTTCACTTTTTTTATCCTTTATTGCACCCCATAGCTGCTATACCCCTATATCCTCTTCAGCCACTGATCATGCACTGGCTGTATCGCATTACTTGGGGAAGGGGGGATCCGTTTGCTGATGGTGACATCAGTGAACCATGTCTACATAATTTGTTTTGAAATGGACAATTGTATTCTACATTGGAAGTCCATATGAGAAGTTGATAATGCAGGAGCACAATTGGGACACAGGGACAAAGCGACGTGACTTATTGGTCCCCGTTTGCACCTAGGTGTTTTGTCACTCAAGGTAAAGGTAAAACCCTTAAAAGATAATTAAAGCCTTGTATGTTTCTGCATATATCTACTGCTAGCAAGCAGTAGATATATGCAAAAACATAAAAACAAGTTTAAAAAGGGTTAAAACTTACCTCTGTCTCCGCCATGCGCTCCCGTGCCTACCCTGTATTCTGAAGGAAGGAAGGGGGGACTACCTAGATGGACTTATATCAGAGGAAGAGAGAGCCCAGAGGGGACTACCTAGGTGGGCTTATATTAGAGGAAGAGAGAGCACAGAGTAACTACCTAGGTGGGCTTATATTAGAGGAAGAGAGAGCCCGGAGGAACTACCTAGGTAGGCTTATATTAGAGGAAGAGAGAGCCCAGGGAGAGGTACCTAGGTGCAGGACCAAAGCTAGGGGGGGGCTAGGGGGCATGTGCCCTGAGTGCCGTTTTAGGAGGGAGCACCACTGGGTGTGTGGATGGAGAACTTCTCCATTGGGGAGGGGAGCAACTCTGAGCCTTTTCCCCGGGTGACAGAATGTCTTGCTTCCCCACTGCCTAGGTGGCCTTATATTAGTGGAAAAAAGGTGCACAAGGAGGCACCTCGGTGGCCTTATATTAGAGGAAGAGAGAGGCCAGGGACAGGTACCTAGGTGGGCTTACATGAGAGGAAAGGAGCGTTCATGGAAAAGTACCTAGGTGGCCTTACATGAGAAAAAAGAAGAGCTCAGGGGAATGTACCTAGTTTAGGGGTTGGTACCTAGGTGGGATTATATTTTTTAAAGAGAGCTCAGGGCAAGGTACCTAGCTGGGTTTATATTAGAGGAAGAGAGAGCTTAGGGAGGGGGAGGTTCCTAGGTGGACTTATATGAGAAAAAGAATGAGCACTGGGGCAAGTAACATGTGAAGAAGAGAGAGTTCAGGGAGAGGTATCTAGGTGAGCTTGCATGAGAGGAAGGGAGGGCTTTCGGGAAGGTATCTAGGTAGGCTTACATAGACAAAGAGAGCACTTGGGGGGAGGTACCTACTATATGTGGGCTTAAATGAGAGGTATAGAGAGATCATTGGGGGGTACCTAGGTGGACTCATGCAAAAGAAAGAGATAGCACAGGTTGAGTTAACTAGGTGGGCTTATATTAGAGGAAGAGGGAGCCCTGGGGGAACTACCAAGGTGGAGTTATATTAGAGGAAGAGAGCCCTGGGGAACTACCAAAATGGAGTTATATTAGAAGAAGAGAGAGCCCAGGGGGAGGTACCTAGGTGGGCTAAGGGTAAGTTTTAGCAAGTCAAACACATACTGAAATTTCAGTATCACAGGAGCGAATGAAGAATAAGTACAGTATCCTAGCTCCATACAGTAAAGTAACCCTTTACAGTTTGGGCTAAATAATATATATCTAAAAGCAAATAGCATTAATAGATTGCTAAATGTTTTTATTTTTATTTAAAGCCTTGTTAATGAAACCTGCAGAATTGGATGTCCAGGTTGTAATAACAAGTTGGGATTTCTTTTCATCTCTTCACGTTCCTCCCTGTTTTATGTATTGCTTGGTTAACCTTTTGTCTCCTGCTTTGAGAGACTAAACAATGACAAGTTCAGGTGCGCATCAAGATCGGTATAACGTTCCCGTCCAGAAGACACAGCCCCTGGAGTTCATAAAGAGTGTCATAGACGCTCTTTAGAAATCTGTCCTGTGGTAATGCGATACATGGCGGATCTTACAACAGATTCATAAACATTACGTGTCAGTAAGGTGTATAGGAATTTGTCAGAACTCTAACAGAACTGTCACAAGCATCGCTCCTGCAAAGTGACTGAGCTTTACAAGCATGGAAGCTATTTAGACATGTTGCAGTGGGGCAGTGGGGCTACTAACGCACGGCAAGGGTTAACTGCTCATTTTTGTCTAGGTTAAAAAAAGTTATACACACCAAAAGCTCAGAGCCAGCCCCTCCTCTGCAGTT